ACCCCCGCGCGCCCGGCTGCGGCCAGTGCCGGCCGCCGCAGCCCGTCCGACGGCGCCCGCGATGAGGACGAGGATGTCGACCAACTCTTCGGAGCCTATGGCTCCAGCCCGGGTCCCAGCCCCGGCCCCAGCCCAGCACGGCCACCAGCCAAGCCGCCCGAGGATGAGCCGGACGCCGACGGCTACGAGTCCGACGACTGCAGTAAGTTTCCAAGTGGCCCACTTCCCGGCCCTCTCCAGCTCGCGGCTCGGGGCGCCCTCCTTGCCCTCGCCCGCCCCCGGGGTTCCCGCGCGTCCCTCTCGCTTCCCCTCGGCAAATCCCCCCTCTCAGGGGCGGCACCCTCGCTCGCCTGGTCTTTGCGCTCCCCGCGCGCTCTGCAGACCCAAACCCGGCGTCCCACCCGCCCAGACTGGAGAGGTGGAAAGTTAGGGGGCGCCCCCTGCGGGTGTCCTGTATCCGGGGTCAGGCTCCCCATAACCCACGCCGCGCCCCCTCTCGGTCTGCCTGCTGGGAGCTCGGGCGCGGGCGGCGGCTTTTGTTCCTGGGAAGGGCGGAGCTGCGCCCGGGGAGACACCAGTTGCTGCCGGCCGCCGGGTCGGTCTCTGCTGGGCGAGTCCGCTCCGGGCTGGCACTGCCTCTGGGGGTCGGGGCTGGACGAGTGGGGGAGAGTCCGGGGCTGGGGCAGGGCCGGCTCAGGGGTGGGCCCTGCGGCGACTCTGCCGGCGCGCGGGCCGAGGACCAGGAGGATCGTGCGGCCCCTTGTCCTTTGGAAAAACCTTGGCGAAGCCTCCTCTTTCATCTGTGGACCCTGCGGCGCGCTTGCTCAAGCCGCCGACCTCGCCCACCTGTTACGCCCGCTCCCCTGCCCGCGAGGGCGCTCCCAGCCCCCCTCCTATTAGGTTGAGTCCTCAACCCCAGGAGGCACACAAGTGCTGGGGTCTCCGGGGCTGAGGCCCGGTTGGCGGACGTTCTGGACACCTTTTCCAGTGCCTAGGGATGTCTGCCTCGCCGGACATGGGTTTAGCGGAGAAACTGAGGCGGGAAGAGGTCGCAGTCGGGCTCAGAAGCGTTTTGCGCGGATTGGGGGTGGGGACGGAGGAGAACGCTGAGCGCAAGGCCCGCAGCGCAGCCGCGACCCCAGCCGCGCCTCTCTCTCCGACCTGAAACAGCCTCCATCCTCAGGCCCACCTGCCTGCGGCTCCAGTGGGGCGGGGGTCCCTCAGGGCATTCGCCAAGGCTGCCCGGGCCTCTCTTCCGCGCTGCGAAGCTGGCTGTGCCTGGCGTGGGCGCTCACACCGGCCGAGGGCTGGGAGTTTCCGGGCACCTAAAATGCGCCTCTGGAAACTGAAAAGAGAGAGGCTTACCTGTGCCACTCCAGGGCGCAGACCCCTCATTGCCCCACTTTGGGAGGCCCAGGAGAAGGAGTCGTAGTCGCTGCGGGTCAGAGCCCAGCCTGTGCGGGGAAACTGCCTGCGCTGCACTTTCTCCAGGCCTGGACCACAGCCCTTGGCCAGCACCTGGCATCTTGAGGCCCTGCACGCGGGCGTGGGGTTGTGAGAAGCAGTCCTCCCCTCCACTTTTCTGCCAGCTTGGGGAAATTGGGTCGAGAGAGCTTATTGCCCGCAGGGCTGTGTCCTGGATCTTTCCAACCCCCAGCTCCTGGCACCCCATGCAAAATGCACCCCTCGTTTGCGGGAGGCCCTGGCTAAAAACCAATCACCCCATTGTCCTGAATGCAAATCCACCCCAACCCCCATTTGCAGTATCTTTTATGCTGGGCCAGAGGAATGAGAAGGGCAGAGCAGACCACCTGCTCTGTGGCACCAAGGATCCTCTGATGACAAGCGGTGAGAAATTTGGCCATCCCTAAACTCATAGGCAAAAGGAATCAGAAAGGCAAAGCTCCAGGCCAGCAGCCTCTTCCTCCTTTGGGGTACAGTGGGGGAACAGGGCTGAATCCTGGCAAGGCGCAGAATCACAGGGGACCAGCACTGCAAGGTGGTCCTGGACAACACAGCTTTGTCAGCTTAAACTGTGGTTTGGACACACTCATGTCACCAGTGCACCCCACAAAAACCAGTAATGAAGACATAGAAAAGAGCTTATGGAAAAAGATGTGTGATTAAGCCAGGCCAGTTCAGGTCCCCTTCAAGCTCATCCCCTTCCTTCAAGGGGAGGCCCACTCGGGTTTAGACCCCCTCAGCAAATGAGAGCAAACAGTCCAAATGTGGGAGTGCAGAAATCTTGGCTGGTGCATTTGGGGGAGGCCAGGTTCTGGGGCAGGACCACCCCCCACCCAACCACCATTGACTATGCTCCTCTCGGCTCTGACAGCCAGATCCCTAGAATAAGCCTAAATGATTCAAGCCAGATGGTTCATTATGGCTTTAGCCAGGGTTATGCTATTTGCTGCCCTAATTATTGGATTATCTCTGTTCTGACAAAAAGAAATTAGGGCGGTTGCTCTGTTGTCCAAGGCTGAGAGTAGAGTGCTATTTATTTACTTAGCCTTATCCCCCCACCTCCCTCAAATCTCATTTTTTATTCACTCTCCCCAAAGCATAAGCATAAAACTCACATGTTCCAAATAGATCTAATAGAAGAGTGACAGTGGGAGACAAAGTGCCGTGAAATGCAGTTGGAGATGCCACCCAGTACCTACCGCTGCCAATTATCCATGGTGGGTTCTGGCTAAGCTGGACTCAACTGCTTGTGCCCACCAGAGGGGGGCCCCTGCTCCATGCTCCTGCAACAGCTCAGATGTTTCCCCCCCTGGTCTCCTCCTCTGGAAACTCATTCTGGCCTTCAAAACTGTACTAGCGAGAGTGCCTTTGGGTGCAAGTAACAGAAAACCAAATCAAAGAGGCTTCAACAGTGAGGGCAGCAGCACCTAGGGAGGTTGATTTAGCAGCTCACTGACCTCGTCAAGTGTGCTGGGCCTGTCCATCTTTCCACTTGGCCATCATCATTTCCTCTTAGACTCACCTTCCTCCTGGACCAAAACAGCTGCTGGGGGTCCAGCTGTCACATGTAGCATTAAGATACTAAATTTGATAAGGGCCCCTTTCACGCCTGTGTTCAAGAGAAAGAGGCACTCTCCGAATTGCCAGGAGACTTGTCCTCCTGTCTCATTGGCCAGATTTATATCATGTGTCCATGCTTAACCTGAACACCGTATCAGGGCAGGGCTCAGTCTGTCGGGGCTTATGGAGGCCAGAAGCAAGAACAAAGTGGACTCCATAAAGACCCTTCTCAACTCGGGGCACTTCCCAGTTCACACTGGCTGTGCTTTTCTCATCCTTTGGACTTGGAACTTCTTTCAGCTTCTCTTAAGCTCTGCTTACCCGTCTCCTTATTTTCCTCTGCTCAACATGACAGCACCACGGTATGTCAGGCACACAGAATGCCTGCTGTGCACCTCTGCTGTCAGGCAGTTCTCTGAAACAAAGACAAACGAGTGGGTCAGCAATGTTGTTGTTATGTGCCATCGAGTCTTCTGTGACTCATAGCAACTTTATGTACAACAGCTCTAAACCCTGCCCTATCCTGAGCCAGTTTCACTGATTCTTACACATCTAATCCCATTGCCGCAGTTATCATGTCAATACATCTTATCCAGGGTCTTCCTTTCTTGTGCTGTCCCTCTACCCTTCTAAGCATGATGTTTTTTCTCCAAGGACCAGTCTCTCCTGGCCACATGCCCAAAGTATGTGAGACTATGGTATATTCAATACTCTTCTCCAGCACACATAGCTCAAAGGCATCAATCCTTCTTCTGTCATCTTTAGTCATTGTCCAGCTCTTGGGTGCATAGCAATTAATTGCGAAGACCATGGCCTGGATTAGGCACACCTTAGTCTAGACTGGCATCACTGTTCTTCTGTACTCTAGAGAGATCCCTGAGAGCAGAGCTCCCCAGTGCAAGTCATCTTTTGATTTCCTGGCTTCTAGTGCCAAGATTGTTGATTTTGGAGCTGAGAAAGTTAAAGTTGTTAACAACTGAAACTGAGAGCAGCCATAGAAAGAGCCCTGCCCCGAGGCTGGGAGGAAGGAGGAGGCAAACTGGTCAAGTGGACGGAGAAGAGAGCCTTCCGTGTGTACTGCAGGAAATAGCTCCATTGAGACACAAGGGGGAAAGATTGATGATGAAACCAAAGTAGCCATATCACCCAACCCAGTGCCCTTCCATCTTGTAGTGATCCGCACAAGGTTTCCAAGGCTGTCTTAATGGGAAGAGACTGCCTCATCTTTTTCCCTCTGAGCAGCTAATGGGTTCACTACTGACCTTTTTGGCTCATAGCCCAACACTTAACCTATTATGCCACCAGGGCTCCTGAAAGCCATGTCACCAAAACCTACTACTATCGTGCTGTTTCTAATTTACAGCAGCCCTCCATTGCTTTTTGAGGCTGTAAATCTTTTCCCTGGGAACGACTGGTGAATTTGAACCACTGACCTTTCTGTTAGCAGCTCTATGTTATATACTATACCACCAGGGCTCCATTGGTCCTTCACAGAGGGTCTCAAATGCAACACTAATGAATTTGAACTGAGTCTAGGCGGCCTGTTGCCTCCCTAGAAGACACTTGAAAAGAATTTAAGCAAGGGAACAACTTGGTTTACAAAGTCCTAACCCTCGGCTGTAAATTCCTAGGATGCAGGACTACACGTTTCATTCCTGAGTCAGTGCCTGACTCAGTGCCTCAGTTTCCCCATCTAGGAAATGCTTCCGGTTCAGCGTCAGGCATTTTCTGTTGTTCATCATGGATGTTAACTATCTGCACCAACATTTTCCTTAAAAAAAAAATTAAATAAAATTTTAAGAGCAAACTGTATATGTAAGGATTATCAGAGTGGCAAGTGTTTTGTTACCTGTCTGTTCCCTGCACAGGGACCACTGGTGGCACAGCCTATAGCGAGCTGTTGTGAACCCAGACTCAGTTTCCAGCGGTTCTAATCCACCAGTGGCTTCAGGGGAGGAAGTTGGGTAGTCCCGCCCCTTGTTACAATTTAGACCCGTGGAAACTCGGTAGAGGGTTAATATGAGTTGGAGATGACTCAACAGCTGTGATATTTACCATAATTTTTTAAAATGTAAATAAATAAACAGGGAGTAAAAATCAGGGCAGATTTCCTCTTCCCAAGGGTGTTCCTGTCAGGAAAGCTCTGTGGAAATCAAGGTCATAGTGAGGCTGCCAGTC